AAAACGATGTAATCAGTCTAATCACGATAATCATCTGATTTCCTTGACTGAGTTTCCTTCAAACAGAAATCCAAAATGACCGTTGATTGATGCGTTTTTAAACTCCACCGGCATGGTATGAACGACGCTTTAGCTGGGGCATATTTTGCTCCGCTGTTTTTTTTTTGTTTTTTTTTTCGCACTATGCCGCAACGAAATGAACGCCTGCAAGAGGCTAAGAAAAACTGGTGAATACCTCGAGTGGTTTACTGGAAGAAGCCAGCTTGGTGAATCCAACGATATCACTGAAGAAAATGGTGACTTCTTCAAATTCCTCAGTTTGTACCGAACTGTGGATCTTTAACTGTTCTGCGACCAACCTGCGGACAAACTAGATCTTTATTACGAAGGTTAGAAATAGCTTGTAGATTTGGTGTTTTAATCGCAGTTTTCTTAGAACATCAATAAATTGTGAATTAAGACAGTCTTCAGCTGGCACAACCACCTTTCTTCTCAAAAATTTCGGATGATTTTAATTTCGGACAAAAGAAGTGTCCGAAAATAAAACTGTCCGAAATTTCTAAGCGTCCAAAATATATGCAGTACAGTAGAAAACTTTTAAGTAGCTCCAAAACTCTTAGTTTCCTTTTATGGAGCCGCGAACTCTGCTTGAGACACTGATACGTAATGGCATGCTAAAATTTGTGTTATTTTCTCGGCGATGTATCTGAAAACCTTGAGGGTGCAGTAAAACCATCATTTTCACAAATGTTATTTCAGCCTAATTCATGTTTTGTAGGCGTAAATTTACCTTCACTGTATTTCAGCAAATTGTCGGAAATTTTTGTCCGACATGACACAAAAACTGTATAAGTATAATGTAGTTAGCAATAGTACAAACGTATGAAAATCAGCCAGGAGAATTAGTATATCAATCTCATGAAAATGTTCAACTTACGGAGGAAGCAGACGATTAAGCAGTTTATCCGTTCGATCTTTCTCTTCGTTCAACTGCGTTGTTCGTTCATCCACGAGCTGTTCTAAATGATTGGCGTGCTTCTCCATCATGGATACCATGTTTTCAATGATGTTTGAACCCCTACAGTAAAAAGCAACAAATTCAACACTTTAACACAAATCATTTCTCTTTTTTTTTTTCTATCATAAGTTTGTTATCTGAGAAATATGATTATCAACAAATAGCTACAAGTAAATAGAAAAAAGACTACCAATCACTTAACCGAACTTTTAATACACGACTAGCTGAAAATATGACAACTGTATAAATGAAAATTTAACAAAATGTGTTTCTCCAGCAACTTGCCGTTTGCATGTTTTCCCGCGCTCTTAGGCCGCGCTTTGCACCCCTTATTGTTTAGGTCCGGTTTTTCGCCGTCTTTACCGCTGGTTACATGTTTTCCCGCGCTCAAGATCGGTTACCTTTTTTTTCCCGCGCTTCGCATCGGTTACATGTTTTGCCACAACGCGACCGGCAAACACATTTTCCAGCGCTTAGCACCAGTTGCAAGTTTTTCTCGCGCTGTACTCTGATTGCAAGCTTTTGTTTGCTTGATTGCTTCAAGTGATTGGATAGATGTAGACATGATTTTTTTTTTGGCTTTAGGTTTAAGACATCCATAAAAAAAATTGCCCCAATTGTTTACCTGCCACTAATCTTCTTGAGTCGATCAACAATGCGAAAGAAGTGCGGTCGTTCCTCGGGTTCATCGTTCCAGCAGTCCACCATCAAATCGACAAATTCAGGCTTTGCCTCCACGCACGTGAGATCTGGGCGAAATGGCGGCTCTTCGTGGGCTACAACGCGATGAATGATCTCTGAAACACATTAAAAAACTTGATTTTCTTCAAACTTCTTTAAAAAATCATATTCTATAGACTATTTAACAATACAGCACTTTTTCCGTGTTTACATAGCCCCATTTAAACACGAGGGGATTTCGGAGAATTCGAGACAGTTATGCAAACCCCCGACTGCCTCTCGAGTTTGCACAACTTTTTTTAGAATTCTCCGAAATGCCCCCACCCCCCAAGTGTTTAGATGGGGCTATGTAAACACGGAAAAAGTCCTCTATTGCTTTTATAAAATATTTATAAAATTACGCGCGAATCTAAAACATCACAACTGTGTTCACATGATCTCATCTAAACACATCTATCGACCAGTGAGAGTGCGCGTAGCGGCGTAGTATATCACGTATTCTATAAAGTCTTGTTGTACGCCTGTTTCTCGACAAGTGATATGCTAAAATTTCGAGATTTCTCGGGCAAATATTACATAATTGATTAAAGAATTATAAATAAGCCGCCAAAATTCGTAATATCTATCTTGACCTTTTCAGAGGCCGACCACCAACTGGGATCAAAAATAACCAAGAGAAGATTAAGATAAGAGTTCACCTTGATCTTGTCTTCAAATAGCGAATTTCCAGATTTGACAACCAAATGATGAAATTTCGCGGTCATTAAATATTGAAATACTGGGACGGAGAAGTAGTTTAATTGAATTATTAAGAACAGAGCTTTTTTTGCAAGATTATTGAATAGACACGCACGAATTTTACAAAAGGTCTAGTTGTACTAGCTGTAAAATGTAAAAATTCAAGGAGGCAAGACATTTGGAGTATAATCTTTAGATTTTATTTATTCCCTCCTGAAATACAATGAATTCTTCGAGAAAAGTTGTTTTAAAAAATGAAAAAACCCGTTAAAAATTCTAATTAGAACACTAGCTATTACTACACTGAAAAGAAAAATTTTCACGTGATCGCAAACAGTTGAAAATTTAAATTGCAAATTATGCATGTGATAAACGTTCTGTAGAGCTGCGTTCTTCGGTCGTGTGTTACCGACCACGTTGACAAATTTCTGCGGCTTGCAATTCAACATTCTGCTGTTCAGTTTGGGATTATGTTTACGTTTGGACTTGAGAGAAAACAAACAAACCTGCCTGAACAGAAACTTTACTTTGAGCGAGCCTCACACACGTTCTCGGTTGAAGTTGTTGAAATCCTCCACGAGGTAAGAACTGCTCATGGAATAAGTAATGTTGTATTTTGCACTATAAATATAGCTTATTCTCTCGCAAAACGGTCTAGGACTGTTCGAAATAGTCGCAACTTCAGTTTTACCCAAGCACTGAGCTATTCACTTTGCTAACTGAATCGAAGTGTATTTATGTGGGTCACATTTTCCGTTTGAACATCTGAGCAGTCATTTGCCATTTCTGTCGCCTAACTTGCCGAAAGTTCACTTAATTTCTTTAATATCATTTTCATTATAACCAGCAATTTTTGTTTCCAAAATCCCTGTACATCATTTATATAACGCGTCTATTAATAGAGGGGTGGGGAGGGGAGGGAGAATGTTGGCGAGGTTTAAGTTTACGTAGAATTGATCGGTTGGTAAAAATTGATAAATGCTAGAGGCCAAATGAATATTGCTCAATTTCTCGAGACAGGATATAAAGTAACCCTCGAGGAGATTATATTTCTGAAATTTATTTGATGTATTTGTTGACGTGAATCATTGTCTTATATTGATTGTATTCACACGTTGCAATTTTGACCAATCGCAAGCAAATATAAAGGAAAGCTCTGAATTTTTGGAATCGTGCAATTGCCTAAGACAGCAGGGAGTTTAAGTTACCACAACGGCGACGCTGACGTCGAGGACAACGTCGATTTAAAAATGACTTTATATTTTACCTACGAATCTCGCGGATACTTTTGAGTCATTTACTTTGTTTATAACTATCAAAACTATCACAAAAACTATATTTGGGACACAGCGATAAATTTGAAATACAATGTTTTTTAAAAGAAAAAAAGTGGTTACGTTCTCTAGACAACGCAGAATTTGGTCATTTCACGCTGTTATTTTTCAGAGGACGGCATAGAAATGTACCAAGAATTATAACGCACGTGCACAGCCATTGTTCTGTTCATTAAACCTTTTGTTTGGTGGCCTTTTGTTTGCCGTTGCCGTCGTGGGTTGTTTAAGCTCTCTAATAATGTACCAATTTTTTCCCGAGTTAGTTACTCAGAAGGCTAGCTTAAGCTTACTGTTTTCAGGGAGCAGATTTTTCCCCCAAAAGATATATATTTGTATTCTTCAATTCATATTTTAATTGAGGTGATTCACTCAATTATTTCACACCTCTCCGCCTGACCTTGAATGACCTTAAGTCGGACGCGATCATTGCCGCCATATTGGTTTTAAATTTGGAAGGCAAATTTAATAATTACTCGTTCTATTAATATTAGGAAGCGAACAACTTATAATCCAAAGATTTCTAAAATTGTCTGCATTCTCTTTAATATCGCCACAATTGTGGGACAGGAATTCTGAATTTCCCACTATCCGAGCTAAACTATGTAAAAATTACTCACGCTAATCAACAGCTAATTTAATTCTGGAAATTTTGCTTCTGGTTNTGCTATAGGCCAAATGAATATCGCTCAATTTCTCGAGATTGGATATAAAGTAACCCTCGAGGAGTGTATTTCTGAAATTTATTTGATATATTTGTTGACGTGAATCATTGTCTTCTATTGATTGTACTCACACTTTGCAATTTTGACCAATCACAAGCAAATATAACAGAAAGCTCTGAATTTTTGGAATAGTGTAATTGCCTATGACAGCAGGGAGTTAAAGTTACCACAACGGTGACGCTGACGCCGAGGACAACGTCGATTAAAAACTGACTTTATATTTTACCTACGAATCTCGCGGATACTTTTGAGTCATTTACTTTGTTTATCGCTGTCAAAACTATCACAAAACTATATTTGGGACACAGCGATAAATTTGAAATATAATTTTTTTTAAAAAAAGTGGTTTACGTTCTCTAGACAACGCAGAATTTGGTCATTTCACGTTGTTATTTTTCAGAGGACGGCATAGAAATGTACCAAGAATTACAACGCACGTGCACAGCCATTGTTCTGCTCATCAAACCTATTGTTTGGAGACGTTTTTATTACCGTTGCCGTTGCCGTCGCGACTTGCTTAAGCTCTCTAATAAATGTACCAATGTTTTCCCGAGTTAGTTACTCAGAAGGCTAGCTTAAGCTTACTGTTTTCAGGGAGCAGATTTTCCCCCCAAAAGATATATATTTGTATTCTTCAATTCATATTTTAATTGAGGTGATTCACTCAATTATTTCACACCTCTCGGCCTCACCTTGAATGACCTTAAGTCGGCCGCGACCATTGCCGCCATATTGGTTTTAATTTTAGAACGCAAATTTAATAATCACTCGGTTTATTAATATTAGCAAGCGAACAACTTACAATCGAAAGGTTTTTAAAATTGTCTGCACTCCTTTTAATATCGCCACATTTGTGGAACAGGAATTCTGAATTTCCCACTATCCGAGATAAACTATGTAAAAATTACTCACGCAAATCAACAGCTAATTTAATTCTGGAAATTTTGCTTCTGGTTCCCGTCTTTTCAAGAGCCCAGTATCCGACCGGGTTCCCCAGTTCTCTGGGGTTCCCCCAATGTCCCCTCCCGTCCACATAATATCGTGTGCAAGATTTACATGCGTCAAATGTCGTGTCTTAGCAAACTCCGTTACGCATAAAATAAAGCATTCCGTTTTTTCTACTTCTTAAGCCCCGGCTAAACGATCGCAACATGTCAACGCAACATGTCGCAACATTGTTGGACGCAACATGTTGCGTGCTTTTGGCCACCCTGTTGCGACATGTTGTGACATGCTGGGTGTTGTTGGCTCAAATTTGACCATTTTCAAACTTGAGCCAACAACACCCAACATGTCGCAAAAAGGAACTCCAAATAATTATTCCAAATTGTTCTCTGTAAAATTCTTATTCTTGTTCTTCAATGCTCCTTATCAAACGATCTAATGACAACTTGATTTTTATCCATGGAGAAAATGAAAATTCCCCGACCTGTCACTGAGCAGAAAACAATTTTCACAGATCTACAGCAACCTTTAAGTTCCCTGATCGCCGGGTTGTTCAAAGCCCAATTAAGTTAACCCAGGATTAGCGAAAATTTTGATTTTAATGTTGTAACTTTTCGGTGAGGTTTTCTGTTTATATTGTTTGTCCGTCAGGTCTGCGTTTCAATTTGAATAATCTTAAACTACACAAAACATAAGCAATGAAAATCAAGAAAAATGGATACTTTTGTTAACTTTTAATCCTCGGCCCTGACCTCAAAACAAAAAGCCACGACAATTTCTCAACGTGATGCGACAATGGTAATCAGGAATCATAGAGATATACAAAGAGCAGCTTTTTTTGTAGTAAGAACTATTCAAAGTTCGTCGATATCATAAATGACGAAATACTCACCTTTGGTTTGGTAACGTTTCGTCATGTAGTCCCATCTTTAAGCCATTCACTTTTCAATCCTACAATATAAAATATAATGTTATTTCAAGTCGTCAACAACACTATTTCAAGTCCTATTATAACAACATATGATCACATGGCAATTGGTTTGTTGTAAAATGCCAAGTACCTTTTGTTACAGTTACAAGCTTTAAGTCGACGATTGATAGGTAGAACGGGTAATAAATCAGTGCTTTTTATCTCAAATGATAAACACTAAATGTACGCTCTCCAGAGTTCATAATCTAAAATACACTCTTTTTTATAGGAATATATTTTTTCAAGAAAATAGAGGCTGAAATTTTAAAAAGAATATAATTTTGTGCGTGAAAGATTTGTAAATGCAATAATGGGTTTTTAACTAAACCGTGCCAAAACTAGCCAAAAACAACAAAAACAGCTAACAACATTTCTGCATGACGCTGTGTGTGTAGTATCAGGCTAAA